CAAAGAAACAGTTTCTGTTAAAAGGTTCTCATGGAAGAAACAAGAGTGGTATCGATTTTTGCAAGTAATATGCTCATGACATTTTAGATGGATATTAGGTAGTATCTTTGTAGGAAATGGATTAAAAGTCAAAAAGGTGTGTGACGTAATATCACCATTTTTTCTTCAACCATAAAAAAAGTTACACCCATTTTCAGGTTTTTTCAGGCTCTAATTTGAATTTAGTAAATTTATCAATCAATGATTAATGCAGTTTTTCCTATAATAACTAAAGAAGAGGTATTCACAAGGAGAAACAAAAAACAAGCCTGAGGAGTTAACTGCATTTTGTACATTACTTTTGTTTTTCAGAAGATAAATATCCAGCATTTCCTCAGTGATTTCTGGTGTATTCAAAGCAATTATCCTGATGTCATATGGCATCTATAAGAGATCACTGACCACTAAACTACAGGATAAAAAATGCATTTCATTACTTGGAAATATAAAAGCACCATGGAGGTGCCTGGGTGGCTCAGATGGTTAAGCGTCTGCCTTCCCCACCTCGGGCTCCTTGCTCAGCGGGGAGTCCGCTTCCCCTTCTCCTTCTGCCCCTCCTCACTTCGCCCTCCCTCTTATGCACTCTCTCTCTCTCAAATAAATAAAACCTTTAAAAGTGCACCAGGAAACTCAGACAAAGTTAAACAAGCACTTGATTCTCAAAGACTTCACTGAGAACTGACATGAAGCGCAGTTCATTTCACAAACTCAGTTTTGGTGGGACCTCATGGCAGTAGGGATGAGAAACTCTGAGAGCAGTTACTAATTACTAAGAGAAAAGGAACACAGGCCCTGGCAGTAAGCAGTACATGAACTACCAGTGTAATCTTATTTCCATGGGCACCTCTATAGCAGACAGGACCACCGACAGCATCGGTAGGAGATATCCATATCAAATACTATATACAGAAGACTGTTTGGTTACTTAAAATATAGTTTCCCAGGTTTGTGAGCAAGCAAAACAGCAGTCGCAATCTAAATGAAAATGAAAAGAACTTTTAAAAAGTTACACTGATCAACCGTATTTGCTGAAAACTACCATGAACCTACCAATATGCTATTGTCCACGTCCGTGTTGCATTTCTAACACCTAAATGCAGAGAGGAACAGGCTTACTTTAACAAACAACCTAAGGGATTTTGTAAGCAAAGTATTAGGGTTCTGTAAAAATTAAGTGATCTTAAGTGTTTCAGAAGATGACACGACACAAGCTGGCCACAATAGATGCATCGATTGCCTCTTCAAACCCATTTTCTCTTGAAGACTGATACTGGAAGATTCTCAAGTATCACTAGGAATGGTTTAATTAAAATTCCTGTCAAAGGAATTAAAACAACTATTCAAGAGGGAGAAAAAAGCTTAAAAATAAAAGTACATACTGAATGATTTCATTGTTTAAAACTGTAGAACATGCAAACAAATTTTTATTGTTAGAAAGCACTGTGGGGCATGGAGTAAAGGGAGGGAAGGACTGCAAAGGAGCATAGGGGACCTTGGGGAGGGGGGGAAGGAAATGTTCAGTATGTATTTTGTTTGTTGGATGGCTTCCCGAGTCTAAGAGCATGTCAAAACTCAATAAACTGCATTAAACATCATTAAATGGATGCAGTTTCTTGTATAAAAATTGTATCCCAATTAAAACAAAACAAAACAAAAAGGTAAAAACAAAAATACTAAAAACAAACCAAAAATGAAAAAGCCTGGAGTAAGCCTTTCCTGAGAGTGGAGAACAAGTCTTCTTTCTAGGCCAAGCCTCACAATATCATTATTTGTATTTCCATTTTTAGCCTGTTTTTCAGCTGAGGGGAGTAGAAGAGTGAAGAAGACACCCCACTCATCAAATAAATGGATGTGAAAGCTGAAGCACTCAGCAAGTTTTACATTACAGTATGGCAGAGTGGTTTAGAGCACAGACTTGGGTTTAGAAGACATGTGTGGGTCTCAGTGTTGGCTTTGTTGTGATCTATAGAGTGGTCACAAAGTCTCTGTGCCTGCAAGTGACCTCATATCTTCCCCCCATCATTTGCATTTCTCATGTTCCTTTCACATCATGGGCTGATAGTGGCCACAGAGTCCCCTTGCATGAGATTCTGCCTAAAACAGATGATGGGTGAAAAGCAGACTCAGGAACAAGTCTTAACCTTTAGGAGCCTAATTTTCCATCTGTGAAATGGAAATACGAGCTAACTACCATGTGACTAAAGAGAACATGTAACTTGGCATTAGCCACAGGAGCTTCACTTAAGTAATAGGTGCTCAATAAATATTTGTTAAAGGAATGAGTGAATGATGAATGGGCTGATTTACTAAAGTGAAGGTCGAGTTTGTGAGTGTATGTGTGTGTGCATATGTGATGGTTGGGAGGCTAGGAGGTTGATAAAGGAATGAAATACTTAACGTAATGTAGTATATTACAGGAAATCAGTTTTCTAATGAGAAGAATCACTCAGTAATGTATATACCATGTTGTACTTCATATAAATCATTATTTAATGAAACTGTGAAGAGTACCCATTTAACAAAAAAAAGTGAATTGTTATAGATGGATATGTTAATTGGCCTGTCATTTAGCCTCTCAAAAACCATGATTACGTTACAACTGTGCTGAGTATTTTAAGAATACTCACTTTTCAGTTTTTATTTGATTTTGTGTAAGGTAAACACACTGCTACAGCAGAATACCTCATAGTTCATTTGCTGATATAAATCATTAACCATTTTTATAAACAAGTTTAGAATAACAATCTGAATTTTATTACAAACAAAAATAAATCTAAAAAGCTTCCTTCAAGTATACAGTATGCACAAGGATTTCTGCATTACATTGTTTTACATAAAATGTTCCGAATGACAGAAGTAGAACTTCCTACCATTTGAAGAGAGGAGCTGACTGCTGAAAACCACACACTTACAGAAAGAAAAGTGTTTCACAGGCAAGGCCTGTGATATCTGGCTACAAGCAGGAGCTGAAACTAGGAACACGGAAGAAACTTGGGAGGAAAAAACACATATTAAATACTCTAAAATGGTTGAGTAAAAGAGTCAAACATTTGTAAACAACTTTTAAGCAAATCTCTTCAACAGGCGGTAATCCTATAAAGTAATGTTAAATGATTTTCATTTGATTCAAAAAAAGTTATTTTTAATGCTAAGGAGTGTCTCTCTCTAGACTTTGTTATCTTTCCCTCGAGGAAAAAATGAAATGTAATTAGGGATTGTTTGTGAATTTCTTACATGAGGGCCTTTAATCCACTTGCTTGTCTGGTTCACCATTTCTACCCAAAAATGAGGGTTAGAATAAAAAGTAAAACTTTTTTACAAATGAAAAATTTGGCTCCTTGTTAAAATCTGTTTGAAGGTTTGATGGGTGAGGATGCTGGATAAAACTGGCTGTGGATTTTAATTATCCCTGCTGCCCTTTTCTCCCATTAAAGATAATCAGGACTTAAAAAGTATGATCTTTGCAACACAACTACTTTAAAACCAGGTAGGCTGAAGTACACTCAGTGTCTAGGATACAGTATGAGAATCCCCGGAACTTACTGTAAACAAACCAGCAAGTGCTCAACAGCCTTTTTTTGCACTTGGCACCATGACTTAACACTACTATTTTCTTCCATTTTCCTATTGGAGATTTTTATGAAGTGATTACATGTAATAATAATATTTTCCCTTTAAGTATGTAATACATACCAAAAACACGTTAATGACTAGGAATAAAATCTGAAATCTATAATGCTAAATTAAATCCTAATGGAAAGGTCGAGCATTAGCATCCACACTTGAATATCTCATGCTCTGAGATAATCAGAAAAGTCTATGAACAGTGACTAGGTCCCTTTTGGTGGAGTGATACATACATATCACAAGCAGCAATGTTATGAATGAGTTATACCTTTCCTTAGTCTACAGTTATTTTTTATGCCAATTTTATTTTACTACTGATGTGTTGAGACCAGCATACTTCCAATTATGTAATCAAATTATTTGGGAATGATAGCCCTTCTTTTATTTAAATAAAGTAATGGTAGACATTTATTTACTGAAAACTTTCTAATAATAGATTCTGAGGAAGCTAAAAATGACACAGTTTAGTACAAACTGTCTTTTACCTTTATTGCTTGTATACACAGGAATACATTATAAAACTCAGTGGGAGGAGGAAAAAAATAACAGAAGAAAAAGTTACCTGCTTTAGCATTTTTAAGAATAGTTTTGATAACTTCTTAGATCAACTTGCTTATCTGAAACAGAGCAAAACTACAATACAATCATGATATAATTCTAATAATCACAGCAATTATGCTTTCATTTTTAATTTTCTCTTCATAAAACATTAATGCTATAAAAAATGAGGTTGATGACATCCTTGTTTAAAAGACACCTTGTACTGGTATCAAAATGTGATTTATTTTAATACCAACTGAAAAAATAGAGCTTATATAGTCTATTATTTCAATGAAGTTTTTTTATTACTTTTATTTTCAAAGTAAGTTGGTAGCAAAGTTATTGTTAACAATATAAATTTTCTCTTTATAAGTGTCGAAATTCCCTTGAAAGTGTTGAAAGGCAGCAGGCATTCTAGGATGGGCTTGCAAGGAAAATCAATTTTCCAATGTTGATAAATAGTATACTTGAAGAATTTATATTTACTTTTTTAATTTCCTTACTAACTTCTCCTGATTTGCCAGGTTTTTTACTTTTGGTATCATAAAAGAAATCTAAGCCCAAGCCTTTTAGCTGGAGCAATTATTTCCATTTTCCATTATTTCTCTTTAGTTTTTCAAATATACACTAAAACAATCCAATAATCATTGCAGGAAGGAATGATCATTTAAGCTGGATCGTGTTCATTTACCTTTTAATTTCATTTAAGAGATAATATTATTAGAGTGATAAAATCTTTACAGTTTCAACACATACACGCAATCACAAAATTAAAAATCTTTTTATCTTAAAAAAAAGGGTTCCATTTTGTTCAGTGTATCATAGTCAAATTTTAGTCCAATGAAATATGCTTTTATTAAATACAGCAGCCGCCACTTACCTTTCAATATTTTACGGATGGAACTAAGTTCAGTACTGATTGAAGGATGCTGGCATCAGAGCCCTCACCTGCAACTATCCCTAAATGTTCTGCATTTCTATTAATGTACCACTGATTATTCTAGATTTATAATACCCTGTCTTTAACTTGGTATATACCATCTTTTGGAAAAAAAATTGTTTTTTGAGATGAGATACAAGAACAAAATCATTCTTGAGGTTCCACCTCGGAAAAAAGACAATGTTTGCACATAGCAGCTAGTTTGATACCCCGTTTTTGTTAGGCTAGCCTTCACACAATGAGCATGCATATACAGCCATGGTTCACTGCATCTGTTCTGAAGTTGAGAACTGCTGCTTATTCAAGTCACAGATGCCCCCATGTTATGCAAGGAGACAGTTGAATTGCATGTCCACCATGAGAAAAAGAAAATAAACGATGAAACAAAATGCAGCAAATATAGGCAGTTGGCATTCAGAACACGCCCAAAAGCTAACACTCATGAATTGTCATTATAAGGGCTTTTGTTTGCTTTAAAAAAAAAAAAAAAAAAAGTCTTTCTTTGCATATTTTAAAATTTAAAGGTCCCAGAGAATCATGAAGTGCCTTGTCGTTTTTGCTGCTGACTTCTGATGACCTCTAGTTGTTTTTTGCATTGCTGGTAATAAGTAGAAAGACTTTTGTTTTCATCTAAAAGCTTTTTATGTTCCTGTACCAGACGAGATGTATTTTGCTGGTCCTTTTCATCCTGGTCCAGTTCTGCAACTAGTTCTTGCCTAAAAACAAGTACCACATAATAAAATATTGTACATGATAGAAAAATTCATACCTTAGTAACTGATGAGCTCAACTTATTAGGACTTTTATTCTGGGTTGATCATTATGCATCTTACATACACTACTCAAACACACTTGTAGGCTAGAATGGAAACTATCACTCACTCTTCTGTGTACCCATACAAACACCAAAATCTTTTTGTAAGTAACTGTACTTATTAGACAATTAGTGAATGCAGATAAAATGGTATAATAAAAGTTTCAAAACATTTTATTTGGTATCCCTTTTGTGCAGGAAGAAGAAAAAAGCCTGGGGAAGGGCTCTGACCACAGGAAAATAACATGATGTTTTATCATTCATTCACATTCCACTTTTAACTCTCGAACTTTTTATTCATGTTTTGAAGTCCCAGTCTTCTTTAACTACAGTGCAAAGTGGGGGCTTCATAAAACATGTGCAAGCTAATTAAAATAGATGCTATCAACTTAAATCTATTTCCGATTTTAAAAGTGAGAACAATACAAAGTACCACTTTCAAATGAGTTACTCACTTTTCTGAACATTTTCAAGAAAGACCATTAGAGACTTTTATAGCCTGATAAACTTTGGGATATGTTCAATACTTATTCCTAAAGTGAAGTTACTGGATATAACTGAATAATTAATGAAAAGCCTCTAGATGATTTTCTCATATTTCTCATTTAAAGTATTTAAAACTGAATAAAACTGTCAAAGTTATCACATTCCCTCAATCCATCATTTATTTTTTCCAGCAAAGAACTCCTCTTTCAAATGAACAAATATGAAAAAAGTACAGATTAAATATTTAAAAGAAAGAGGTGTTTTGTTTTTTTTTTAACATAAAGTGTCAACAGTTCCACAATTAGCTTCACAATTTACAGACTCTAATATTTATTTCCTATATAGCCTTTAAAGTACTGAGTTGAAATCACTTTAACAGTAAACTGTTAAGGAGTTGTTTTTTTTTTTTTTTTTAAGTACAAACAAACAAAACTTCCCACAAATTACTTCAGGAACCAAGAAATTTTCATTTATTTAGATTAAAATTAACAGAGGGAATCCTATTACCATGTATACATATAGTTGCCATGATTTTGTCCTATAGCACTTCATTTCAGTTACCACAATAATTCAGCTTCAGAGGTATAAAATTTCATGAGGATCATGCTTAAGAAAACTGAAGTTTTTGCTCTGTTTTTTAAGAATTTCAAATAAAGGAGCATGAAAATTGGCTTTCTTAAAAAAGGGAGGAGGAAGGCAGCCTCTTTATAACTCTCAGAAAAACACATGTGAATATAAAACTCCCCAGAAAAACACTCACAGGTATAAAATAAAGTAATTCTACTCTCCTAAACATATACCTAGAAAAAATATATCTATAAAATACTTTTAAGATAAAGCACAGCTGAATATTAGTAAATCAGATTATTTTGTCTATGTCCAAGGAAATAATAAATCTTTATAACTATAAATCTAAACAGCTTTTAGCTTTAAAATTCTTAGAACATAAAACATGTTTATATAACACAGTTTATTTTCCCTAATTTTAATATATGTAGTCAAAGGGTTGAGTTTTACATGAAAAATAGCCAAAGGTTGCTTCAAACTTAAAGATGAATACACATAAAACCTCCAACTTGGAAATACAGCTGACCCTGGAACAACATGGGTCTGAACTACATGGATCCACTTATAGAGGGATTTTTGTACAGTACTGTAAATGTATTTTCTTTTCCTTAGGATTTCCTTAATAAAACTTTTTCTCTAGCTTACTTTATTCTAAGAATACAGTACATAATACATATAACATATAAAATATGTGTTAACTGACTGTTTATGTTATTGGTAAGAATTCTGGTCAACAGTAGGCTATTAGCATTTTTGGGGAGTCAAAAGTTACATGTGGATTTTTGAATGAGTGGGGGTTCAGCACCCCAAGCCCCAAGCTGTTCAAGGGTAAACTGTATGCTTAACGATTAGTTCTAAAAATTACAAAGTTTTCATGTCTCCCAACAATATTTCACCTTAACATATTTTAAACTCAAAATACTAATGTCTTTTATTCATAAAAGATAACTTACTTTCTCTGTAATAACAATGCAATTTCTGTTTGAACTTTCATATATTCTTGTGCCATTTTACAATGCTGTTCAAACACTGCCATAGATTCTTTGGAGTTTGGGCACGGTGCTAGAGGCTGAAAATAAATCAGGACTGTTAACACATAATTAAATCAAATCTTAATATCAAGCTGAGAGTTAAGACAGTGACTGTGATATGTTTTTATAGCACTAAAGCAATGGTCTTTTAAAAATAAGTGTTAAACCATGGCCTAGAAAATTTCAGTGTCCTTTTTTTTTTAAAGATTTTATTTATTTATTTGACAGAGAGAATGAGAGAAAGAGCACATGAGAGGGGGGCGGGTCAGAGGGAGAAGCAGACTCCCTGCCGAGCAGGGAGCCCGATGCGGGACTCGATCCCGGGACTCCAGGATCATGACCTGAGCCGAAGGCAGTCGCTTAACCAACTGAGCCACCCAGGCGCCCCTTCAGTGTCCTTTTGTCAGAGTTAACTCAGAGCTTAAATTCACCTTGCTGTTTTAACACTTTTGCTATTACAGAGAATCATGACCAGAGTATCACTGGCCTCTGGCTTTACATTTCAGGTTGTCAAACCATATTATACAAAAAAGAAGTTTATGGCTCTCATACTCATGAGGAGACACTGAAGTGTATTACTTATATTTTCAGTCACTATGAACATTAGTTATCATGAAATCTATTAAGTAGAAATGAGCTCACGTAAATTTTATACTATAGCACTAAAATTAAAGAGCAAAAATGCTATTCTTGGCATTCCTTTTTTTTTTTTTGTGAGAGAGAGAATCTCAAGCAGGCTCCACACCCAGTGGAAAGCCCGATGTGGGGCTTGATCTCATGACCCTCAGATCATGACCTGAGCCAAAATCAAGAGTTGGACGCTTAACCAACTGAGCCACCCAGGTGCCTCCCTCACCCATTCTTGGCATTCTTAAACAAAGATATGAAAGTATTCTAAGACAACTGTTAAGAACATATGATTTTACCAATTTTAGATTTCATTAACTTACCTGAACGAATCATTTTAACTTGATTTTAGAAAGTTTAAGGAGGCCAACTAAAAGCATAAATAAATATATGATGACAGATATGAACATAACTGTCTGCTTTCTAGATAGATTCTCTAAACTTTTTCTAAGGAAAAAGTAAACATTCACGGAGAAAGTACTCTTTTACCTGTAGTTGGTGATCCAGTGTAAGATAAGCCATTGGGATAGAGTTATCTGATCCATTGGTATCTGGAATTCAAGTATGTATTTTATTTTCTATCATAAATAATTACAAGCAAAAAGCAAGAGAGCATGCATGAATATTGGCATTTTTTTCCTAAAGTAAATAATACATTAAAATTATTGCTATTGGTAATGAAGAAAGTCTATTTCTGAATTCTAAAGGTAAAAAGAGAATATCCAATCACCAGATAATCAGAATGCAACCATACTCTCGTACATTAAAGGGTATAAGCTCTTGTTCAATTAAAAACAAAAACATCTACCGCTGAGACTAATACTACATTATATGTTAACCAACTTGAATTTAAATAAAATCCTGAAAGAAAACAAAACCCAAAACAGTGGTATGGGACCTTTATACTTCAAATTCAGTCTTCACTGACCCTACCTATTCAAACCTCCTATCTCTTTCTTTCCTTGATCATGCTGTTTACTATAATGCTGTGTCAATTCCCTGAACATTAGTGTCCTTTAATGAAAAAAAGGGGGGGGGGAGAAGAGACACATTCTCTTCCATTGGATTATCTTCAATTTATATATAGATTCTAGTGTGAACCCCTTCCCACCTCTCCTAATGAGAATCACTGCAGAAAATGAAAGATGCTTTTGAGGGGAGTATACTGAACACAGGTGTAATGAAGAGTATGGAAACTGTAGCTCAATGTCATGCGTGGAACAGTTAAATGGGTTAAATCAACCAACCAGTCGATTTTACCAAAGTATTTGAACAGACAGCTTTTGTTTGTATTTCAAAAGAGATAAACTGACATAACAACTTGCATGAGTCACATGGGATTAACATTTATGCCTCCTGACTTTATAGGAAAAATTAAGTATCTTAACTCTTTCAACATTTTTCTTATTACTCTTTCTTAAATCTCTCACACTTGATAGATCTTATTAAATAAACACCCTGTATCTGATATGTATTTTATTTTTATTTATTTATTTTTTTTAAGATTTCATTTATTTGTTTGAGAGAGAGAAAGAGTAAGTGAGAGAGCGCACACAACCAGGGGGAGTGGGAGAGGGAGAAGCAGGCTTCCTGCAGAGCAGGGAGCCCAATGCCGGGCTTGATCCTGGCATCATGACCTGAGCTAAAGGCAGATGCTTAACCGACTGAGCCACCCAGGTGCCCCTCTGATATGTATTTTAAAATTAAGTATATCAGTGTTTCACAGTATTCAGGGAATGGAAAAAAAAAATCCAAGGATTGTTCTATTAACTATTAAAACACTCAGCTATGCACTGCAAATTTAGCAGTTTCTTAAATTTATTACATAAAGCATGATGAGTTTATTTTTATTTTTAATGTGTCAGTATTATGACTCTAATAAGACTGTAAGCAGTGGGCCATGTCTTATACTTCTATCTTTGCAAATAAGAAAAACTCTTTGGTGGGTTTTTCCCTCTCTGTGGCTCCCTCTACTATGTCTAGTTATCCCTCTCACTAACTGCTTTTGGGTATGTATGTCTTTTTTTATCCACAGTATATTATAAATAGAAATCCAAGAACACTCATTATATGCTATGATTATTAAATTGATATGCTTTTTATTTTTCTCTGAAAATGCACAGAAATCCCTCCTCTTTTAAAATAAAACTACCTAATTAATTAGGTTATTTAAACTTATGTATGCACTTCTAATTTTTTCCTGAATCAGGGGGCCTTCAAAGAAAAAGGCTTTACCAATATCTCTTCCCTGTAATTTATTGTAGTAGCTTGATTATCAGTACTTTTCTTAGAAACAGTACAAAGCTGAACTTCATTAAATATAAGCTTGAACCAGTCTCAACTTCTAAAACTATATTCAAAATTATCTAAAAATGATAACCACATACTTGCCGTATTTTAAGGCAAAGGCAAAATTCAGTTGAATTTTGGACCTAGGCATGATTTCTAGCTATTGGTATTTTAGGTCCCGGAAAATAAAAAAATGAGATTGGGGTTGAAAGGCTGGAAGAACACATGAAGTCGAAAAAAAAACAGCAGTTAAGTGAGAAGGACATAAGAGAATTTTTATTTTACTTTCACGAATTCATAATTACGTTGACTGGCATGGCTAGACTAGTCTAGGCTGAAGTCAGGAGGCCCTGCCAAGCTGAGCACTAGGTCTCAGCAAATGCTGTAATGTCAGGGCAAGTACTCCCTCACTAGAGGGTTGAAGAACCAAAAAGAGCTAATCTTACCTGAATGTTAATGATCAAATCTGTCAAGAGCGTTTCCCTATCTACCTCTGAGGAGAAAGCACATTGTGATGAATTCTGTATATGTGCTGAGTAGTGTTCTGGACAATCTTAGGTTGGGCTATGCTAGGGCTGAAACTTGGAGGAGTTTTTTGCCACCACTAAATTTAAACTTACTAAAACTAGAGAGTACACCGCTGGCTAAACATAGTTGTATCTTACGTGAAACTGGGAAAAGCTACTCAGTTAATTTTTTAAATTAAATTATGGACTTGACTAAGTCATGCCAGATATCTGTAAATACTTATAAGTAGTGTTTTAGTTTGTAAAGGGAGAAAGCTTTTTAATTTCAATTTAATTGCCACTATTAATAACACAGTTGATCTTAAATAAAATCCCAAATGGTTTAATCTTCCAAGGTCTAAGAGATCATCTTTCCCTGACATATTAACATATAAATAATAAATTTTACAGAACCATACTGATAAGTATTCAGGAAATTCTCTTAATGCTAAGGGAAAGTTAATTCCACCATGGCATGTAATTTCCTGTTTGCCCATAATAAAACTATTCCATCACTAGATTTTAATACTAGTATTTTGACCAGTTAGTCATTCATGTTAGGGAGTTGTAATTTAACAGGCCTTTTAAGGTCTGTTAACAGAAATTTATGTAACTGAAATGAAGTCTCCCTACCAGTTAAAAATGATTCAAAAAGTTAATGGTGAGAAACTTTTTTTTTCACTGAAGTACATGGTATCTTGTGTCTTTAAAACAAAAGACTGAGATTATGATGATTATTTTTATCATTCTGATTTTAGTTATCTAAGAGATAATGAACTTTACTACTATCATCCGTAGGATGGACCAAAAATAGGAAAATCAGAGACTTAAGTATCAAGAATACAGTATCTTCCTGTCTGTAGTGACCCCAAACCAAACCATCTTTAATACACATGTTTAGTATCTGGGGGGAAAAAATGCAGAAGGCAAGACAATCTATCTCAGTACTCAAAAACTCATCTTTAAGTTTATTGCTAAATATTTGATTTTATTAATATGAAAATCTAAACTACTGTAAAATGCCTGCCTTTATAAAGATCAGAGTCATGACACAAATAAATGAAAACAAATATGATGAATTCAACTTCTTAATTATAGTGAGGAAATACACTGGTCACCTGTGGAATCATCAGGAGTCCATGGATGACTTCGAGTTGGCTTTTCTGAAGTTGGTCCTGAGGTAGTGATCATTCTGACGCTAGGACTGGATGACCTACTGCTTACCTATAGGAAGAAGTGATTGGAGGAACAAAACGTGATTTTTAAAAGTGAAAAAAAAAAAAGATAAGAGAAAATTTTTATTACAAAGCAAAGGATAGCCTTCCATTTCTTTCACTAGAGGTCCGGAAATACTCTTGCAAAAAATAAATAAATCCTCTAAGATTTTTATACACACACACACACACACACACACAACGTGTGTATGCATATATGTATACACACACATATAAAATTTATATGCACTCATGCATAATACCTCTTAAAATTTGATGAGCTTTCAAGAAAGTAAGAGAAATGCTCTGAGACCAGAAATAAAGGATTAGGAGTCCAGGAAGTGCTTAAACTGTTAGCCCTGGGAATTTCAACTGAACACCAATGATTTAGAGCTTTTGTTTTGACTACATTCTGCACTCAGAGGAATAGGCATAAAGTCTTGGGCGTTTGTAGATGGGAATGAGAGTGGAGAACTGCTGTGCTTAAAGCTAAAACCTAAGAAAGGCTTCAGTCTTGGGGGAATAGTGAACTAGGAAGAAAGATCTATCCTATAAAAGCAGATAGCAAATAAATTTGTCTGTGTTGGGAGTGGCTCTGGATGGAGGGGAGAAATGTTATCCACTGTGAATTCATAAAATATTTCCATAATTGCTGGACGATACAAAAAATCTTAACCACAACCAATCCCAAGCAGAAAAATAACAGAAAAACTACAATAATGAATTAAACATGGATCATATTATAGTCAAATTCTAGAAAACAAAGACAAATAGAAGATGGCAGAAAGCAGCCAAAGACAGATTACCCACAAAACCATACCAGTTAGGTTCTCAATAGCAAAAAGGGAGCCAGAAGAAATTGGAATATCTTTAAACTGCTAAAAGAAAATAACTACCATCCTAGAATTGTTTAGCCAACAAAAACGTAAAGAATGAGGTCAAAATAAGGTCAAAATAACAATCTTAGACGAGCAAAAATGGATTCTACCATCCATAAGCTCTTATCATAACAATTTCTGAAGCATGTACTTTAGGGATAAGAAAAAATTTTCCCTGATTGAAGGGCCAAGTTGCAATCAGGAATACTGGTAAACATAAGGATGAATCTATACACAGAAAATATTAAACAATGGAAACATGACTAATTTACAAAACTACCAAGCAAACAAATAAATAAGACAGTATTACAGCCTGAATAACAATAGCATAAGCAAGAGAAACACTGATTTAAAAATCCTTATATTGTTGAAGATGAGGGTAAAGATATTAACTTTAGGTTGAGTATGAGTGTTAAAATTTCACAGGTAGTTACTAAAAGTAATAATATATATGATTCCCAAATTAGAAAGACAAATAATGGAATGAGAAATATATTTGTTCAATTCAAAGGAAGGCAAAAAAGGAGCAAAAAGGGAAATAAGAGAAAACATAAAATAAGAAGGAACACATTTATCAGTAACCATAATATAAATGGATTAAATTATTCAGTTAAGATATTTAAAAAATCAGACTGTCAGGCTGGATTAAATGCTCTTTTAAGAGACAGACCTAGTTCACAGAGTAAACAGGAAGTTAAAGGATGAAAAAAGATAGTCAAACCTACCCAAAATAAAGTTATGTAGCTATATTAATATGAGAGAGAATACATTTTCGGGTTAAAAAAAAATTACTAGAGAAAGAGATAAAATGATTAGTGATCAATTCATTATGTAACAACAATTCAAAATTTATATGCTCTACCTATTACAAGATACGCTATATCAATACATAGCTTCCAAACAGATACAGCAATAAAACTGCAAGGAGAAAGGGACATATTCACTACCATAGTGCAGTATTTTAATACTCCTCTGTAAACAATATAAGCAGACCAAAAAAACAAAATACCACACCAGTAAAACCTGAACTCCGTAAGAAGCAAGCTTGATCTAAACATATCAATGAACCCTATACCTAAAAACTGGAGAATATGCATTCTTTTTAAGCACCATGGAACATTTATGAAAACTGATCATGTATTAGCTATAAGGCAAATCTCAAAAAAGTTAAAAAAAATATAGTATTATATAAACCATATATTTTTGTATTGACTCAAAATTAACCTTAAAAGTCTCATATATTTGGACATTTAAAAACACTTCTAAATAACTCATTGTTCAAAGAGAACAAAGTGGAAATGAGAAAGTATTTGAACTGATTTTTACCATGAAACTCAGTAAAACCTGTGGGATGCAACTGCAGAGGCACTTGGAGAAAATATACTTAATTCCAAGTATTTAGATGAAAAAAATTAGAAGCAGTGACAATTTACAAGATAGGGATTTAACTTATAAAATTAGAAAAGGAACAAAGTCATCAGCCTCCCCTCAAAAATAACAAAATAAGAATGAGAAAATACTATAATTTAGTGGTTAGTAAATTAAAAATAAAACAAAAAATTCATAAAGTGAAATAGACAAATTCCAAAAAATATATAAATCACTAAAGTTTCTTTTTCTTTTTTTTAAGATTTTATTTCTTTATTTGACAGAGAGAGAGCACAAACAGGGGGAGAGGCAGAGGCAAAGGGAGAAGCAGACTCCCCGCTGAGCAGGGAGCCTGACATGGGGCTCGATCCCAGGACCCTGGAATCATGACCCAAGCCGAAGGCAGCCGCTTAACTGACTGAGCCACCCAGGCGCCCCTAAATCACTGAAGTTTCTACACATTATAGAAAATACCAAGCCCAGAGAATTTTACAGGTGAGTTCTATAAAACACTTTCCAATTTAAAGAAATTACTCTGGAAAAAAGAAACACTTCCTGACTCATTCTGTAAAGGCAGTAAACCTGATTAAGAAACAAGAACAGAATAAGAAAAACTGCTAGCCAACTTCACTGATGAAAACAGATGCAAAAGTCAAAGTCCTAAATATTATATTAGCAAACGGAATTTGGCAGTGTAAAAACAATAAAGATAATTTGAAAAGTTGAGGATGCTAGGAATTCTATTAATCCAATTCATCATATTAACAGATTAAAGGAGAAAAATCTCAATAGATGCATAAAAAAGCATCTGACAACATTTAACAGCCATTTATGAAACTACATTTAACAAACTTGAATTCCATTTAAGAGAAGATAGTTTCTTAACCAGAGAAATGGTATTTATAAAAAGTCTAGAAATGTGGTAGCACAGAAAATGGCACTGTAGGCTGGTGGATGACAGAGGTCACAGGCAAGAAGCACACAGGGAGACTCATGGGAATTGATCATGTTCCATTTCTTAAGCTGGGTGGACAGATTCATGAGTGTTCGTTTTATTATCAGGCTTCATAACTTACATATTACATATACTCTTATCTATGTATTAATATTTCATATATTAAAAACTCTCAAAGGACATATGAGTTAAATGGATTTTGTAAGATTCTTTCTTAAAAAAAGCACCTTTTTTTTCTTAAAGTGTTACTGAATACTCTGTAGGAGACTCAAAAAAGAATATGGAATTAAGAATATAAAAAGTACATAAATTCAAAGAAGTCTTCAACAGAAACACTCAAAGACTGCATCAAGTAAAATGAGGGGCAATAGTAGTAGAAAGTTCCCTTGAGTAGAAATTAGCAGATGTGAGTTCTAATTATGGTACAATGTCTGATTTAGTTTACTTCAAGAAGTCTTGCTTTCTTTATCTAGAGAGAGGGTGGGGCTGGGTTAAAGATGTGGTAACTTTTAGTATTTTATCCACTCACTGCCAGAGTTCTATTATTTTAAGCCTTGAAAACTCACAATGGATTGAGGATACTAAAAAGTAAAAGGCACTTTTATAACAATTTCGGAAATTAATCATAATATAATTGTGAAGAAAAGACTGATGGAAATTACTTTCATCTTGGGTACCTATTGAAATTGCTTCAGAAATTCCAAAAAGCTTTCCTACACCATAAACAATTTTCAACTCCATATCTGACTGGTCTTTCTAAAACCTTAGTTTATTAAAAAAAAATAAAATAAAATAAAACCTTAGTTTATTCATGCCACGCTTAGAAAGGTGCCCTGTGTATAACAATGCTCATTCTGTCTTCTCTCCTCCTTCCTAATTCTTCTTCATCCTTTAGGGCCCTGCTGAGATTCCCTTCAATATCATATGTTCATTCTTGCTACATCCTTGGTTCTTTGGGCACAAAGCCAGACCCTGTGTTTGAAGACTGCTTTATTCTAGCAGCAGTTTGTAGAATACAAATGTTCATTTACTGGTTGTTTAATGGATCATTCCTGAAAGTCCCACCCTGGCATTCCTGACCCTCCATTGGCAGGTGTTACCTTACCTATCCAGATTATCTCTCCTCTGACAATTCCTTATGCCCCTCTTTCTCTTCTTGCTTTTAATCTAGACCCCATATTCACTCAAGGATTATATGGTCTAGTGCAAAGAGCAAGTATGACAACTGAACTATATGAAACTGACCTTTTTATACATCAGAACAGTTGAGTATCAGCAAATTCACACGATTTAGTCTAATACTTTGTGGAGACCTGGGTTTAAATCTCAGTTCTGCCATTTTTGGCTGTGTGAACTTGAATAAGTTGCCTTTTGGAGTCTTAAGTTCCTCATTTATCAAGTGTGGTTGAGCAGTAGTAATAGTTAAGAAGTCCGGCACTAGAAACAATACAATCCAGAATTTGAATCTCTTGTCTGCTATTTATTAGCAGTGTGGCTTTATGTAAGTTATTTAACCTCTAAGCCTCAATAAGTAAAATGAGGACAGTATTACCTGCCTCATCAGTTTGTAAAAAAATCAAATGAAATGAAGTACCCAAAGTGTTTTTTGACACAATAAAAATGTTCACTAAATGGCTGATTATTAGGCTGTAAATCTAAGATGGGAATATATGAATGAACTTGCAGCACCTAACAGTTCCCTCTCAAGATCAAAATCACAGTTCTTTTAATAAAACATAGTGACTAAACCCTATCACAAAGATACTTTTTTCCTTTTGGCTGTATCTATAGTCTGCTACTACATAAACC